CACTATCTTCAATATAATCAGTTTCAATAATTTTATTCTCTCTAACCCTAGCAAGTTGTTCATCAAGAAATTCACCAAGTGGCACAGTAGTATCAAGTGTAGAAGTAGTTTCATCATAAGTATCATGCATAGCAGAAGTGGCATCATCAATAACATGTGACATATCAGAACGAATAGCAAAAGTAGGTTTAGGTGTCGCAAGCTTACTCAAAACAGAAGGTGAATCAAGTGCAGAGATAGATGACAGTTCCTTACCTCCCGTCGTAGTTGAGGGATAAATCTTGGTTTTTGGATCTCTCAAGTTCTTCATAATGATATGCAGATATAAATCCCAAGTGACTCAAAGAATAGAGCTATGCTCCCCGGCAACGGCGCCAGAAAATAGTCTTGATAACCCACAAGTATAGGGGATCGCAACAGTTTTTGAGGGTAGAGTATTCAACCCAAATTTATTGATTTGACACAAGGGGAGCCAAAGAATATTTTGAAGTATTAGCAGCTGAGTTGTCAATTCAACCACACCTGGAAACTTAATATCTGCAGCAAAGTATTTAGTAGCAAAGTAATATGATAGTAGTGGTAACGGTAGCAAAAGGTAATGATAGTAAAAGTAATGTTTTGGGTATTTTGTAGTGATGATAGCAATAGCAACGGAAAAGTAAATAAGCGAAGAACAATATATGGAAAGCTCGTAGGCAGTGGATCAGTGATAGAGAATTATGCCGGATGCGGTTCATCATGTAATAGTCATAACCTAGGGTGACACAGAACTAACTCCAATTCATCAATGTAATGTAGGCATGTATTCCGAATATAGTCATACGTGCTTATGAAAAAGAACTTGCATGACATCTTTTGTCCTACCCTCCCGTGGCAGCGGGGTCCTAGCAGAAACTAAGGGATATTAAGGCCTCCTTTTAATAGAGTACCGGACCAAAGCATTAACACATAGTGAATACATGAACTCCTCAAACTACGGTCATCACCGGTAAGTATCCCGATTATTGTCAGTTCGGGGTTAACGGATCATAACACATAATAGGTGACTATAGACTTGCAAGATAGGATCAAGAACTCTCATATATTGATGAAAGCATAATAGGTTCAGATCTGAAATCATGGCACTCAGGCCCTAGTGACAAGCATTAAGCATAGCAAAGTCATAGCAACATCAATCTCGGAACATAGTGGATACTAGGGATCAAACCCGAACAAAACTAACTCGATTACATGATAAATCTCATCCAACCCATCACCGTCCAGCAAGCCTACAATGGAATTACTCGTGCACGGTGGTGAGCATCATGAAATTAGTGATGGAGGAAGGTTGATGATGACGATGGCGACGGATTCCCCTCTCCGGAGCCCCGAACGGACTCCAGATCAGCCCTCCCAAGAGGTTTTAGGGCTTGGCGGCGGCTCCGTATCGTAAAATGCGATGAATCCTTCTCCCTGATTTTTTTTCCTCCGAAACCAAATATATAGAGTTGGAGTTGAGGTCGGAGGAGCTTCAGGGGGCCCACGAGGTAGGGGGCGCGCCCCCCACCCTCATGGCTAGGGTGTGGGCCCCGTGGTCTTCATCTTTTGCAGGGATTTTTTATTATTTCTGAAAAGATGTTCCGTGAAGTTTCAGGTCATTCCGAGAACTTCTGTTTCTGCACATAAATAACACCATGGTAATTCTGCTGAAAACAACGTCAGTCCGGGTTAGTTCCATTCAAATCATGCAAGTTAGAGTCCAAAACAAGGGCAAAAGTGTTTGGAAAAGTAGATACGACGGAGACGTATCACCCACCCCCTTTTCTCCCTGACCACAAGTCACATTTCCCCCGTTTCCTCCTTCCTTCCTTGCTAAGCTATAGACGCTTCCTCGCTCTCGTCGTCTCGCATCCTACCGCCGGGGTCGCCATGGTCTTCTTCAAAGACATCTCCAGCAGTTCCTACTCCGGCGACTACTCCTTCACCACCCAGGTATGCCTCTCTTCTCTCTCGGGCTATGACTTGGAATGAAGGATTTGTACCTGACGGTCGATTTGAGTCATTTGTTCCTCTTGTAACTCCCTAAGACCATCAGTGGCAGCGAATGGAGCGGGGTGGCTGAAGATCTATCTGCTCGCTGTCACCATCAATCTCCATGCGTGAAGCTAGTTGCGTTTGATTCTATGGATAGTGGGGGGAAGTTTCTGGCATGTGCAGAGAAGGTTAGACCCTCTTTCGTTGTTACAAATCATTTGTTAGATGTGATTCAGACATTGTCATGGTCCCAACCCATTCATACCAAACTATAGGTGGGAGAAAGAGCCTTTCAGCGCCTCTCCAAACTATCTGGGGAACTAGAGAACTAGAGGGGCTCCCAAATGGGAGAGAACTTGTGTGTTCAATAGGGGTGCCCCCTCTAGCCGACTTAGAGGAGGGGCTCCCCTCCCTTGGCGCACCGACCTAGGAGGAAGAGTCCTCCAACCCCTAGCCCCTAGCTTGTGGGAGGTGCCGGAAGCACACCACACAGTCAGGTGTGGCTATGGCACCGTGGATGGCTGCCACGCCTCTGTTCAGTGAACAGAGGTAGGGGATGAGGGGGTCAGGTGGGCTGGGCCTCATGTAGACCTAGAGCCCAAGTGCACATTGTGTACTTTCCCTTTAATCTCTTTCCTTTTGTTTTTCTTCCGTCTTATTTATTTCCCCATTGTTTTGTATGTAGTTGGTCCACTAAATGAATTTTCTTATATAGGGAACTTGGCACATAAATCATGTACAATATTGTGGTGTTGCACAAAAAGTTTCAGAGCATTTGGTAAAGTTTAAATAAAAGGTCAGGTATTATGTTGTTACAACTTTATAATTTACTAAGGATTAATTGGTGAGTCAAATGATGTTGTCCAACATGACAAATGATCAGGGGGAATTATGGAATAATTTGAACATTTTAGTTTTACTGTTTGAAGAAATATTAATTTGACTTGTTATTTGAATTTCAATTTGAACATCTTCCATACACACTTGCATTCAATCATTGTAACTAGCAAGGCTAGTGAAACTGGCAATCTCACTAGTTTCGTTGGGGGCCAAGCCAATATTGTATTTTGTGTGTGCAAGTGTTGATCATTAGGTTGCTTAGTAAACTCCTACTGGTTCCATAAAACCTTAAGGTCATCCACTTTGAGGGCGAAATGTTGCTTGCTACAAACCCTTGCACTTAGGGGCCCAACACCCTCCTTGCTAAGAGGAAACAACATAAATACAAATGCCTTAAAGTTTCGTAAGAGAAAAACAAATTGGATCAGAAGAAAAAGAATAAAGACAAGATAGATCTCGATGCTAACATTCATGGGCTCATTTGTCGATGAGATCGGAGAGAGGAAGAACCGGTACCTCGTCTACTAGGAAGGACGAAGGGCATACCATTGGCAAACAAAGCCGAAGACGTGGCCGGATAGCTAGGATAAGCTCGAAGAGCACCTCCAACAGAGCGAACCGTGGGATGAGAAGAGTGAAGCATGAGACGGCGGCGAAGGGAAGGAGAAAGATGGGGAAGAAAAGGCAAATATAGGAGATGAGATAAAGAAAATGATGACATACATGCGAAAGAACCGACAAGACCCACGACACTAGCCCACACACGTGGACATGCATGGGGCCAAAAACAACAAGAGAACATGCGATGAAGGTCACATAAAAAGAGTGACATTACACAGTACATAGTCAAGGCGAGCACATGCTTTTATCCGGCGGAGCAAGCGTCGCAGGCCCACTAGCCAATGGACTCACCGCCATCACTGCTAACCCTACCAACTGGCACAGGGGCTAATAGGGGGACCCATCGCCGTACTACAACTGGATACATAAGGAGGGACCCACACACGCGGAAAACTAGTAGTCACATTACCAGCGGAACACCCCAGATACCAACCGATCATGGGACCTACAAAGCATACATCTACCTTATACCAACCAAAGAAGGACGGAACAAACAGAACTCCACACGGCCATCGAGTGGACATAACGAATCGGATAAGTAGGAAGGAAGCAAACCCACCTCAGGAAAACAATAAGGCACAGCCGAAAGGAGTGAACTCACCTTATCTGCCCGGTAAGACACTGACTCCGCACGATCTCCCGACGCCCGGACTTGAACAACCAGCCGAGTGTTAGGCGGGATAGCCGGGCGGGGTCCCGATGCGACGTTCGCCTCTGCCCGGGGGCCCAAACATCAATCCCCACCAACACAAGAGACAACACACACACATGGATAGTTGGGTGGTGCCCACGCGCAATGACCGCCTCTACCCGGTGGCGCAAACATCATTCGCTCCCACACAAGCGCATGAAATGACACACACTACACGAGGACAACGACCACCATACGAGGTGACACCGAGCACACTCTCAGTCCATCGTCATGTACCCTCGAGGCCGTTGGCTCGGTGAGGAATGACCGATTCCGATCGGACAACAGTTAGGGCGCCAGGTAGGCACCACGCGTGAGGCGTGCTTGGATTGAACGATGCAATTCTTTATAGGAGTAATGCTCGTACTTGAATTATGATGTGATGCATTTAAATTATCTATGTTTGTGGTGTGTTGAGACGTGATCAAAGTTTGTCAGAATCATGATTCTGTTGTACGGTTCTACGACTTTACGATCCAAACTAACCCCTATGATTCTACGATTTTAATTCATAGAATCTACATTTCTATGATCTTGATAGTGAAGATTCTATGATTTGCGATCTTACCATCGGAGCTCTGATCCGATTTAAAATCGCGACTATGACAACCTCGTGACCAATTTGTTACTATAATTTGAGCAAACATTTTGAAGATTTTACAAGATAATTTTAAAAATAAGGGATCTGCTAGATAAGCATGAGCGATTTCTCTAAAAAAAATATTTAGGGAAATGGAACGGGGGATCTTAGCATGCGGGCACTACCAGTTGAGGGCTTGAGGCGTAGTGTTCCACACAGCTACCAACTCCGCTCGAGATCGAATCGAGCTCACTGATGCCGCCGATGGCCGTGGACAAGCAGCGGCTGCTTCCTCTCTTCGTTCTCGCTTTAGTGACGCCGGCCTGCTTGGCGAGTGGCGGAGAGGAGCCGGCGAGGTTCCAGATCCCACGAGACGGGAGCGTTGTGGAGCTGGACGAGGGCAACTTCGAGGCGGCGGTGGCCGCCGTCGATTTCCTCTTCGTGGACTTCCACGCCCCGTGGTGCGGCCACTGCAAACGCCTCTCCCCGCAGGTACGCATCCAGCTAGCCTCCCCGCCCTTCCATTCGATCCACCACCACCGGTGTTCGCTTGAGACCTCGTATTCCCAAGAGTCTGCAAGGAGAAATGCGATTGGGTTAGAGTAGTAGGTTAATTGATGCCAAGTGCGAAATGGGAAATTGAGAGATAGTGGTGATGGTTCAGAGACATGGATCGGATTTGAGTCGTAGAGAGGAAACGAAATTGGCACAGGCACGTCTAAGATCCACTCAACCCCTTGCTTGTAATAATAAGATTATACTCCCTCGGTTCCTAAATACTCCTATAAGTCTTTTTAGAGATTTCAAAATGAACTACATACGGATGTATATAGACGTAGTTTAGAGTGTAGATTCACTCATTTTGCTCCATATGTAGTCCATGTTGCAATCTCTAAAAATACTTATATTTAGGAATGGAGGGAGTATCACCAAGACTTGCAGGCCATGTCACTATCGCTTTTTTCCTGTTATTCCAGCATCTGTGTGGCCTGCGATGATGTGAACTGATAAGCCGTTGCCCATTTGCAGTTGGATGAAGCTGCTCCGGTTCTTGCTGGGCTGAGCACGCCAATTGTAGTCGCGAAAGTAAATGCAGAGAAATACAAAAAGCTTAGGTCCAAATATGGAGTAGAGTAAGCAACCTAATCAAATATCTCTACGAGTTTGGTTAAACCAGGTGGGAGTCTGTTTTGTAATTGACAAATTTGTTTGTTTTCCTGGATGCAGTGGCTTCCCCACTCTTATGCTTTTTGACCATGGAGTCCCCACAGAGTACACTGGTTCAAGGAAGGCGGGCCAGCTCGTTGAGAGCCTCAGGAATCTTGTCGCACCTGATGTTTCTGTTCTCACGTCCGATGCAGCAATCAAAAGTTTTGTCCAGGAAGCTGGTGTGGGTTTTCCATTATTTATTGGATTTGGGGTGGATGAATCCTCCATTGCCGAGTATGGAGCAAGGTACAAGAAGAAGGCATGGTTTTCTACAGCAAAGGATTTCTCTGAGGATTTGATGGCCGTGTATGATTTTGACAAGATTCCAGCATTGGTTTCGCTCAACCCAAAATATAACGAGCAGAGTGTCTTTTATGGCCCCTTTGAAGGTACGATTGGATCTCTATTTGCTTTACGTTTCTTGTTACATGTGCTAGCGAGTGACATCCTGGATTTGTCATTCTGTTTGTGTCAGATGTTCTGCAGCTCCGTTTTTTAGTGATGGAATTACGTAGTTCACCTTTCTATACCAAAACATGTGCAAGCTCTGCTTTGTACTGCATGTCTTTTCCGGATTGATGATACATATGATTTTTGTGGATGCAGGAACCTTCTTGGAGGATTTTATACGGCAATCCCTGCTTCCGATAACTGTGCCCATCAATGCAGAGACTGTTAAGATGTTAAAAGATGATGATAGGAAAGTTGTCCTTGCAGTTCTGCAGGATGATTCTGATGAAACTTCCATGCGGTTGATAAAAGTTTTAAGGTCTGCAGCCAATGCAAACCATGACCTAGTGTTTGGATATGTGGGAGTCAACCAATGGGAAGAATTCACCGAGCCTTTCCATGATTCTAAGAGCTCACAGCTGCCAAAATTGGTAGTCTGGGACAAAGATGAGGAGTATGAAGTGGTAAGTATAGTATTTTTGTTGCCCCCGTTATTTTCACAAGGATGCCATCATCAGATTTCAGACTATCCCCAGCTAGAAGTATGTATCTGTTCTCTGCATGTCACATGGTATTACTGATATGCAATTGTTATGTGTAACTCCGTGTCTGGTTTTGACATCACATTTTTGTTCAAATTGATCCGTTCATATCATATCCTTTTTTACAGTCCGTTCATATCATATATGTTTGCTTAATTGCTTTCACCACAATCTCCAATAGTGACTACTTAGTTGTGCTATGATTGAAATGATTCTTGTCGCAGGTTGAGGGTTTAGAGAATTTGGAAGAAGGTGATCATGGATCCCAAATTAGTCGTTTCCTCGAGGCATATAGGGCTGGAAGAACAATAAAGAAGACATTTGGCAGACGTTTCCCAACGCTGCTCGGCGTGAATGCGTTGTACATCCTCCTCTTATTGGTGGCTGTGCTTGTTGTTCTGATGTTTTTCTCTGGGCAAGGCAAGGAAGTTCGCCAGCCAACACGAGCCCATCAAGAATGAATGTGTACTAGTTTCCGGCTCCAGACTAAACTTAAGGATTTCCTGCAGCAGAAGAATAGCATGGATGTTGTAGAAAGGGGAACCTGGAATGAGGATATTCTGATTTTGAATTTCACATGCCTTAGTTTTGACCTCCCCTTGTCTGACCTGGCAGTTACTAGCTCCTCTGTTTAGCGATTTCATGTCATGTAAAGTTATTTATTTTAGGTCATGTGAAGTTATTGACTTGCACTCCAAAATAGATCAGGTCACTTATCTCCTTTGATTCAATGGAATTTCATAGGATTTTTTGAGGATTTGGATCCTTGGGGAAAAAATGGTGTTAGTCGTCGATTTATTTTTTCTAGAGATCTCTATCCAGTCAAACATGTTGCCAGAATCCTTTGTTTTTCCTGTGTCACTCTTTGGTCCAAATTTCTATGGTTTGTGATCGATTCAAGAGGACATGCAATGCCAATCTTGTGTCTTTCTGTTTTTAAGTTTTAAGAATTCTGTGTATCAAAGTGGCCTTAGGCTGGTCATAGTGGGGAGTAACTTAGACTAGTGTCATGCTCAAGCATGACACTAATCTACTCCCTCCGTTCCAAAATAGATGACTCAATTTTGTACTAACTTAGTATAAAATTGAGTCATCTATTTTGGAACGGAGGGAGTAAGTTACTACCTTCATAATGCAAAGTAACATAATAGTAGTGTCATAGATGGCTTCATTTATTAGCTTGTAGACTCATTTTGTTTTGGAAAGCGCTATGTTACAGTAACATATTATGTTACTACCTCACATTAAATACTTGCCATATAAGCAAAAATTTCTTGAAGTACGCTATGTTACTAGCTAAGTTACTCCCACTATGATTAGAAGAGGTACAGGATAGCTAGCAAACTGCTACTCCCTCCTACCACGTAGTGCATGCATGGTCACCCCCTCTCCATATATTGGTTGAGTACATATTTTAGGAATAAAATGAAATTAGATAAAAATAATAATGTGACGTCAATATTTAGCTATTCAAAAAGTACAAGGCCTTACAAACTGAAAATTCAGATTTATTTTACATGGGTATACGCTATGTGTGCGTCGTGTTAACTGTTCGGGTGGATGAGAGACGCATATGCACTTCGTAGCCCGCACATCTGCACTGCCATTTGGGAACTTGGTTTTGCACATCTCACACCAACTTTCTATAGTCGCTTATGAATAAATCAACTTTAATTGTTTATCACTGTAACTTTCGCTATATACAACAGTGATATTCCTTTTGTAGAAGACTGATGCTTGCCAATGACTTGGGTTGTAATAATCTTCTTTTTTTGCGGGTTCATGTCGAGGCAGATTGCAAGGAGGTGATTGTTACTATGCAAAATGGTGAGAATTCTCTTGGCCCAGCTGCGGCCATTTACGAAGAATGGTCTTTTCTAGCTTGCAATTTTAATACTATAGAATTTAATTACTTTTCTAGGGAAGCCAATATGGTGGCAAATGTGCTAGCTAGGAACTCGGAGAACTCTCGAACTATTGTGTGGAAGTCAGAGCCTCTGGTGTTTTTAGTTGATGTTCTTTCAAATAATGTACCCTTATTTTCACATGAAATATAAAAACGTCATGATGACATTTCCTCAAAAAATGAACATAAATATGGATTGGATGTGCGAAACCAAGTTTCTCGGTCGCGTGGTAGATACGGCCCACAAAGTGTGTGTGCACGCCCCTGCGTGCTTCAAATCTCCTATTGGGTGGATGAGTTGGATAAACATTCTTCTGCCTTCTGCTGAACTGGAATCACTTAGGATTTCCCCGGATCCTTGTGCTACACTGTCTGCTGGAGGAAAAAAAATCCTATACGACCGTGTCGTATCCTTCCAATCGGGAGACCCATTCAGCCGCGCAGTATCTGGCATTGTGAATCTCAAAGCAACAGACTATCTTCTTCTCCAATGCCTTGCGCTGAAACCGAACATCGTGGCCATTTCCAGATCATCCCAAACCTGCCGCTGGTGCTAGCTCCGTCACCATCGACAAAGCCAAACTTCTCGCCGGCGGCGTGATTTTCCTCTGCTCACATCGTGCGTCCAAGCTGCTTGCACGATTGGTCGCGTCCAAACTCTTCGATTCCGGCACAATCACACTGCTCGTCCCCGCCGGCCGAGGGAAGGCTCTTGACGCTGAGCAAGTCCGTTGCTCGGCGCCGGCGCAATTCCACTGCACGCCGCCATCGTGAGCAGCCACGCCTCCAACAAGGCCTCATGTGACTTTTCGGTTGCCGGCGCCGAAAAATTAGTCCAGTCACGCCCTCAAGGGCCCATTTTTCGCCGCCTCGAACCGAAATTGACGCCGGCGGACCCAAACCCAACCCGGCGCGCTGGGGGCGCTCGGGGGCGCCGAGCGAATCGTTTTTGGCGCGAAACAGCCGCGGGCCCTCCTTGCCAGCGACTCGTCTCTCTTCTCGCCGCTTCGTCGTCCTCATCGCCTCGTTTCCCGCAACGAATCAATGCCAAAGCTGTCGCACCGGTCAGCCTCCTCCATTGATGCCTCACGTACGACGCAGTGACCGGACGACGCGCGTCCCATCGCCCGCCACGCTTACGCGCGGCGGCCACGCGTACGAGCGACGCCTCCGCCTATATAAGTCGAACCCCAGCGCGCCGGTGACACGCACAAAATCTTCACCGCCGCAGCGCCATTTCTCCCTCTTTCCTCCCTCTCCTCTCGTCGTCTCCGGTTCAAAGCATGGCCAAGCGCTTCCCAGGCGACGGTGCGGCGGCGAACGGCTTCGGCCGCCGTCACCTTCACGAAGACGAAGCCCGGCTCCTCTTCGAGGCCGAGTACCCGGTCCCGCCGGACATGCGGGTGCCGAGGGCGTGGAGGATCAGCGCCGGCGGGGTCCCGGTGCCACCACCGCCCACCGGGGCGGTGCGGCATGCGGAGATCGCGCGTATCCGCGCCTCTCTACCGCGGGCTGCGAGGGAAAGGTCCGCGGTATGTCCCAGACAGCCCGCTCTGGGAGCCCTACTTCCGCCGCCGTCACGCCGAGCAGCTAGAGGCCACCAACGGCGTCGTGCCCTCCGGAAGGCTCAACTTCGAAGGCCAGCGCTGATGGTGGGGCGTGCCCGGCCGCACGCTGGAGGCCGTCCTCGAGTACATCGAGGGCGGCAACACGCCGGGGCCGAAGTACCCCGCTCCCCCGTCCATCTCTCGCCGGCGTGGGAGCTCGTGGACGCCGAGGCGCATGGACCTGGGGGCGTCCTCCTCGTCCGGCCGCTCGTCCGACTCTCCCTGCCTCCGTCCCGTCAAGCCGGAGCCCCAGGACACGCCTGCCAGTGCGCGCACCCGCAGCTCCGGCGTCCGCATCGACGACTCCACCCCCGCCTCTGGCCGCCTCGTCCTCGTCAGGCCGAAGCCGGAGGCCGACCCCCCCGCGGAGTACGAGGAGATAGCCCGGCGCGGCTTCTCCGACGAGGACGCCCTACGGTGGGCGTGGGACGGCTACCTCCGCGACGAGATGTTCCGGCAGCGCCGGGCCCTGGAGGAGATAGCCGCCCGCAAATGTGGGCAGAGGACGAGCGCGGCGTCGTGATCCTCGACAGCGACGACGACGAGGACGCCCCCGGACCGTCCAACCCGCCGCGCCAACCGGGGGAGAGTTGCAGCAGGGACGGCGGCCGCGGAGGAGGCGGCGGCGACACACGGTTCTACCGCCTCCTCGGCATGTAGAACTGTAAGGGCGGCGGGCGGCGAGGAGCAGCGAGGGAGACGGCGAGGAGCAGTCTAGTAGCATTTTTTTTGTAAAATATTTTAAATATGTACGAACTCGCCGAAGTTTGGTTGAATTTGCGTTGTGTTTGTGCCGAAATTAAAATTTTCAAAAAAACATGAGCGCCACAACTGAGAGGTATCACGCTCCCAACACGCGGTTTGCGCCGATGTGTCCCTAAAGGACGATTTTTAGCGCTTTCTGGGAGGCCAACGGCTGAAGATGCTCTCACTTGTGTGGGCACCGGTGCATTCTAAGAAAATGAATCTAGTCAGGCAAGACGTACGCGAATGGAGTTTGCTGGTTGGTTGCCGCCTCCTTGGTATGTCATCGCCGTCTTGCTGCAATGACCTCGCCGTCGGGAACGAGCGCAGCAAGGTGACAAGGTGAGAATCGAGATTTGGCAAAGGAAATCAGGGAAGAAGTTACCTTGTTGCGTCAAGATCCCCAGTCACTCCAGCTCCTTCCCTTCCGGCCAACGTTGTTCTCGCGGAAAAGCCTACCTGGTGCACGCGAGTTTGGAAGGCGGGACGGTGGCCATACCGATGCACGTATGGGCATTGCCAACGACCGATCATGGCGGTGGTGGTGACAACGGTTTCCACTGGAGTCTTCCCGATTCCCAAGTCGCGAAGATGATGGACCTTCTGATTCTTGTTTCGTGCCGGCAGCGACACATCTTCTCGGTCCCTACCAGGAGGTGATTTGCAACCTTGTGGCAGGATCGATCCCGTCAGATACAGAGGTGATTTGCAACCTTGTTTTGACTGTTGTAATGGCTACATCGTCTTATAAAAGTGAACAGAGGGAGTACTTCTTTCGAGATCATTTTTTCAAGCTAACAACGATTACCTCCGTCCCAAATTACTTGTCTTCGACTTGTCTAGATACGGATGAAGAGAGTACTATAATATTTTTTGAATTGGGACTATAGGGACTGAAATGAATGAACAAACACACTAAAACGTGTCACATCCCATTCAGAAAAAGTTAGAACATCTTAGTAGTTGTGAACAAAGGGGGTAGTTGCAACGGAAGGAGACATGCACTTTAAAAGATGTAATTTGATCCAGAACGTGTTTGAATGTTACTCCCTTCATTCACAAATATAAAATGTTTTGAATATCTCAATATGGACCACATACAGATTAAAATGAGTGAACAAACACACTAAACAATGTCTATATACATCTGATCCAGAAAAAAGTTGGAACATCTTATAATTGTGAACGGATGGAGTATTAGCTG